TGTGGGAACATATAAATAATAGTAGTTCTATTTCACACATCAATATGTTACATTTGAATATATCTGAAAAAGTTTGTCACTGAATTTTAAGCAGAGCTGAAACAAATATGAAATAATTCATTCGTCGATCGACACAATTATAATAGCCTACTATTTTATTAGATATGAGATTAACCGTGTGAATAAGTCCTCATAAAGACATGATGTATTCAGCCATGCACTGGAAATGTCAATATTTGATGTCATATTACACTCAAAATTCACTGCCTTTTCCAACATTTTACTGATTCATCTAGACAATTATCTACAGAATAATGTATTATCAATATAGATGATTATTAGTGCCTGCCCTACTTTAAAGTCGCTACAACAGCATTAAAACACCAACTAAGGCTTTACTGTGACAAACTCTGTCAGCTGCAGTGCTGTTGGGCATCACATGATGGCACATGTGAGCACTGTTATTGTGAGTAAGAGGTCTGAGACTAAATAAGCTCATTAGACCGGTTCGCATCTACAGAGCAGAAACACTGAGCTGAATTAGGACTTCCACTATGAGAGCAAGTGTGTAAAGTGACCTTAAATACACAAACAAGTCCATTTAGCAACTGCTATACTGATCTGTACAAGCTGTGGTTTACACAATAAAGTCATTTCAGTATCTTCAATCATTCATTCTCAAGTACTGTCGGTTTCCAAACACAAACATTGGGTATTTTTGTACAACTTAGACACAAAGAACAGAAAATATGTTAACTAATATTATTATTTTTGCTGCCTCTTAGCATATTATGGTAGACTGGTAGATTAGGATGGGAACTTCTTTATTTTTGTATGTACACAAGGGACTTTTATGACATTCTACACGACATGGAAAAAACATTATTTAAATACGTTTGTTAGTTTGAAACTATAATGAGCTTACTGAATCATTTGTATCTTGGTAGAGCTTCATTTCTGATATTGGAATGAACTAAATATATTTAAAGACAGCGAATCGCATATTGGTAAACATGACTTTACAGCAGCAAAGGATTCTGGTGGGATTCTTTTCGCCGCCAGCAAAGCGTGTTCCTGTGACGGAAAGTGTACTGCCGGCGAGCCTTGGCGGGGGGTGCTAGTGGAGCACGCGCGTGAACTGCGAAATCCCATCACTAATAGGTAAAGAGATAGTATCTATAAGGGACGGCTCTATTCAAAATTCAAGTCACGTGACACGATGGGACGTCATTTTATGCCAACCCGTGTATTTACTGTTTCTCCTTCGAGGATACAAGGAGTACTATATTACCATTCTGCAACACAAGGTTGAACAACAGATACTATCAACAGAAACCAAATGAAACAAAAAGTGCATTCCTGTGGTGCATCTTTGGGATATGCATCAGGAGGAACTCGACACCAGTGTGTTTCAAAAGGTTAAATGTGAAAAACAAGAAGCTCTGTCTCTTCGTACCTTTATGAAAGCGTATCCCGCTCCGTTGTCGGTGATGGTGAGGCCCAGAGCATCTTCAGATTTATGGACCTCCACCTCCTTCTTGATCCCTCTAATGTGGGCGAAGATGAAGTCCTCGAGGCCGATCTGGCCCCCCAGAAGCTTGTCCATGTCGATCTTGTGAGTGTTGAGGGTGCAGAACATGATCTGGAAACACACAGACAGGAAGCAGGCAGATTTAACACATAACAAATCAGGGTATGCAGGAATCCTGAAGTCAGATGTAAGACCTTTTTTAAGACCCTTTCCATACATTTTAAGACCTCATCGCCACTTGGAGTTTTAACCGGTTACCTTGGCGACACACTTTACCTCACATTGACTATATACAGTATTGATTATCCTTCCTCCTTATCTTCCAACCATTTGGACGCAGACTTGCATTTCCCCAAAACGATGCTGTTTAACAACCGGCGTAAACGGACCTTCGCGCTATCAAGCAGTGAGCGTGCGATGTCCCGTTCAGATGACGTCAAGTCCAACGGGATGCCGTAAATAAACTACACAGAATCACACTGCACACCTACGCAATGATTACATTCAGGCAGACTGTAGAATACAACCTCTTTGGACCATTTATAGACTTATTGAAAACAAGCTACAAAATGTAATACCTTGGAAAATGCCGTTTAATACTTTTAATAGCCTTCATTTTCATTAAATTGATGTATCAACTTTTAATACTTTTTAAGACCCCGCGGACCCCCTGCAAAGAGACTGACTTCAAAAAGAAGCATTATTAAATCTGAATCAGGTTTATTGCCAAGTCGGTTTAGAATCTAAATTGCAATAGCTGTGTAGTTTTAAAAGAGGAATGAACGTTTGGTGTTTTAAAGTATAGTAAGAAGAATGAGGTCGCTGAGCTTAAAAAGTAGTGTGGAAAGTTATTATGATGATTCAATAAAAGGTGATTGAATGCATTTAAAAAAAAGACTATAATCACTTAACATTTACAACAACAACAACAACAAAGAGGCCCTACTGTAAATGACAACATGTCTTCATCTTTAACACACAATCAACAGATGACCCTCATGTTAGTCGCAGCCTAAAGAGTGACGCAGATTCAAAAATAAAAGTGTTTGAGTGCAGATGACGCAGCAGTGTGCTAAATACAGGAATCATCAGGAGCTCTTCACTGCAGCAGCCAAGTTATGCCCTCTGTCCCCTCACAGTGTCCTCACAGTGTCCTCACAGTGTCTGAGTTTTAAGTCCTGAGCCTGTGATGAAGCAAAAGAGGAAAAGTGACCTTTCCTTCCTCGGCCAGAAATGTGGAAATGTGGCTTCACACCTAACGGTCTGCCACGTCTTGGCAGGAGATGTGATCCGCGGAAACACGATACACAAGCGGTCTGATTTAACAGCACTTTAAACCCCGGAGGAGGAGACCGATGGGAGTGAATCATTTATTACGCTCTCCTAGACAGAAGCTATTAATAAGATCTGTTTCAGCTTCTTTATTTATCTTATGCACAACAAAGCAGTTTTTAGCAGTAAGTGTCACAGGCTCCTTCCAACAGAGCATATTACATAATAATACTACTATCTGCGGAGACACTTCTTTTTTTTTTTTAAATACATATTTTTATTATCTTTATCATGTTTTTATAATTTTATTGTGTATGTTTGCAGACCGAACATCTAACAAAGAAAGTGTGAAAGAAAAGTATAAAAAGGAAAAAAATGTTAGTGCCACAGTTACCTCATTCACACCAACGGTGTTTCAGGGCCGGTTCGGAGCTGGAGCTTGAAAAGCACCAGGTTTTCCTGTTCACACCGCAGCGGAGCAGCCTCTTAGCTCCGGAATCCGGTTCATTTCGAGCACCAAAAAATGGTCCGGCCAGAGCAAAAGCACCACATACGTCACGCTTACGTCGAGGCGGGGCAGGGGCGGGATCAACTCCTGAACAACAAGCTGTGAGGGGTTTCCGCGCGGTTTGGCTTTATGAAGCAGGCACACAATGACGCAATAGCACCAGTCGGACTCTGGCAGTGTGAAAAGAGCCGGAGCTAAACCGAAGAACCGGTTCTGAACCTGAAAACCTCTAGCACGGAGCTTGAACCGGATTTGCGTTGGTGTGAATGAGGTAAATCAGAGCCGTATAATAGAAGAGTTATGACATCTCCGTTCACTCCAATGGACCACTTTTTTACAGCAATGGCGGATCGTGGAGCCTCTCATTCGTTCCCCGGAAGTTAGCGCCAAGGCTAGCAGAGCGGTAGAGTTGCAGCATAATAACCGTTCGTGACGGACTTTTAAAGGTAAGAAGAAGTTTAAAGATTTATATTGCGGATATTATCAGTACATCTGATTCAAATTAACATGTGTATTAAAGGATGTCAGTGGATTATCCCTAAATCAGTAGATTTAGGGAACGTTTACAGATAACAGATCAAGCTAGGATACCGAAGCAAGTTAGCAACAGACGTTGAACAACCTTTTAATTGTAAATTCCGTTCTCTTAATGTCATTTGGTCCAACGTTGTTGAATTAGAGAAGAGGGGCTTCTAAACGGGATTGTATGCGGGGGTGGAGGGAGTTAAATATTAGATAAATATAACTTTGGTGCGTGTAAGAGTGAGTGTTTTTAGCAGAGCCATATTGTGTCCTTGTGATTATGTTGATTATTACCTGCCTGTATAATGTTGCAGCTCAGCTGATTTTGGATTGATGGCAAAGGGAGAGGAACTTAAGTGAGTGTGAAAACACAAGGTAAGTTTAATACTACTGTTTTATATAAGTAAGCATACTAAACATGTATTCTATCACTGTATTATATAAGTAATCTTGTTAGTAACCTACTGTATGGCAGGTGGAGGGGCAGTGATGTTACAGGTGGAGGAGCAAGACTGCAAGACTGCAAACTCACAAGGCAGAGAAATCAGTTTGTTCTCCAGAGAAGAGGTTGATTTCACTTCAATTTTTTATTTCATATTTTCTAAAGATGTGGAAATGGCAACAAAAAAACGTGAGAGCTGTAACCAAGACAACTGTAACAACAGGAGTAGAGAGCCACCAAGGTTATTCAAGTCCCTCTCTTACTCCATTTTGCAACCCAAAACTTCCAGGTACATGACGGGACACCTTGCATTGTTTTTGTTGTTTGCCCTCCTCTGGCAGGTGGAGGGGCAGTGATCCATTCCCTTCTTCCCTCAATCTTTGAGACCTAATGTAAGTAGAAGACATGGCACTGTAAATGTTCATTAAAAATATTACAACACCACTTAAAAAATAAGAAATTACTTTTGTTACTAGAGTTCATACTTATTATACCTGTGTCACCTTCACACTATCGCTGTGATCATGAGCTATGGCTTTGTAGATACAGGTCCCGGGGTGAATCGTGGTGCAGGGGCCCTTCTCTTTTTGACCACAGGGCGATGCACGAAGATGGTGGGGTATAGCCTCTGCTCTCAGCCTAGTCTTGCCCTTTTTTGTCTTGACAAACTGGTCTGCATCAAATGTGCCTGCGGAGTGACTTGAGGTTACTTCACACACAGAACAACTCAGTTTTGTCTGCCCACATACATATTCCATAGTGGTTGAATACACAGTATTAGGAAACACTTTATACTTACTGGACATGTTATACTCATTACATACTGTATATACAATATGACCAAGAATGTGAGACAACTTTATAGAAATTCATATCACATATGTTACTGATGCCATTTGTCATACTTTGTTAAACTCACAAATAATAAAGTTCCATAACTTCAGTTGGGAACAAAGACCACACCTTATCTCCCCAAGGCAATTTCCCATCCAATAGGTGTGCTGTATAGGTGTATAACCCTTTCTCCTGTCTGTTTATCCCTCTTTCAGCACAAGAACCAGAGGGGGATTCAATGGAGCCTGAATACCTGCACTGAGACCCTCACCCTGCACCCTGAGTCTCAACTCTCAGTGTTTTTCAAGCCTTTCCCTGTTTTTTGTATTAAACAAAACATTAAGCTTTCCCAATGGTGGGGTTTTCGTTTTGTGAAAAAGTGCAAATGCAGTGTTTGTATATAAATCACATATTTGTTTGCTGTTGGTCGTGAAATTGCTCCTGCTTCCTCCGCTCTGTGTCAGTGGGGAAGCTGTACATTCGTACTCCTTTCTCTGAGCGATTGGAGCATCCCCAGGCAGCACAGCAAACCATGGTGGCGACTAGGAGGCAGCACAGCACACCAGGACAACACGGAGGAAAAGGCACAGACAAACTGCATGATATGCTATTCAATGTTTATTGAATTCCATGTATTTGCAATGGATGTTCCTAAAACAACACATTTAACATCATCATCATCATGCTGCTGCTGCTAGTCCTTTGATAGTCACCTGTCGGTCTCCTGTCTTTTCTGAAAGCCATAAAGATGACATTAGTCATTTAGATAACTTGTGTCCTCAATTACCATGGTTACTGAAACTACCATGAATTTAAGAAAATGGTAGACGTTAATCTAATCTGAATTTTAAAGCATTACTTTAGATCCCCTCTCTCTAAATATATCAATAAACATTAGAAAGTGATGCTCCTGACTACCATACAGGTTTAAGATAATATTGGTTTTAAAGAATTCAAAGCTATAAATAAACAGCAACAGGCTCTTTAACCAAGGCACTGTTAGCCTAACATGTAAACTAGTTGTTCACACTAATCCTAATATTATCACTTAATATTAGCAAATTCTATTTTATTTTTTAAAACATATTGATGTAAATACATACACATATCGATTTGTTGTATAAATATTGCAAATCAAAACCTTTATTCACTAATAATTACCAAAATCGTAGTTCTAATCTCCTGTTATCAATGCATTCACATTGCCCGCCATGAACTTCCGGGGAACGATCCTCTTCTACATGAACCACGTGACGATAACCGTTTTTTGGACTTCCGTTGTCGTAACTCTTCTATTATACGGCTCTGGGTAAGGTAAGTGATGCGTCCTAAAACCCGGAAGTGAGTTAGCATTTTACCACTTCCGGTTCCTTCGACAAAAAGCAAATGTGATTTCTCCATAGGATTTTGGAAAATAGCTGGAAATAAGGTCTGTGGTTGACACCCCATGGTTGACACACATTGAAGGGACAGATCACGTTTTGTTTACGATATTAAATACATCAGCAGTGACCCCGCTGGTGATTTCTGAAG